GGCTGTTATACAAAAAATTTGTTGACATCGATACTAAGCATTTAGCATGTCTTTAATCAAAGCAATAATCTCTTTTTTCCCACCAGGTATTCTATACTGTTTCAAATTAACAACCTGAGTGGGTCTGGATAATTCTAATGGTTCCAATTTAGCATGTCCAATCAATACTGGCCTAAGGGCTGACTTTTATGTCTCCAACTTTACAATATCAGGTAGAGGGAGTGTTCCCCAATTAGACATAATATCCATACCAATAATATATTCAGATAAAACATCTGTTTAAATCATCCAGTTCTCATCCAAACCTTCTCCTTAGTCCCATCAACTGTTGTTCCCCCATATCCCCCCAGTCTAAGCTTAGGCCCCTTCAAGATTTCATTGATAGGCTTTGGGATGACATTACCTTGTGTCCAGGAGCCCCAAGGTCTTTTCCCTACCCGTATGCATATGGTCTGAAAGCTGGCGGTTCAAATCCACCATCCACTCCTCGGAAGGAAGATGGGGCAATCTATTTCTGTAGTGATACTGCCTCGGAAACCCAAGGAGGGATCGCTATGAGTCGGGTCCGACTCGAACCAGAAAACCCTGAAAACAGATTAGAAAAGTATGTAACTTCCAGACTTATTCTTGCAGGTTTTAGGGTCCGAGGACAGCACTGGAGACTTCGTGATGGTGCCCATCTTTGCTCTACAGATAAGCAGGTGCCTGAATCGATCTGGAATCTCACCCACAGTGACTCCCCAATCGTATAGCTTCCTCATTCTGTCCCCTGTAATTGCTGTAAGTGAACTGTGAAATGTGGGCAGTCCAACTAGCGTGCTATACACCTAGTTTGCTGTCCAGTCTCATGCTGTGTTTCATTAAAGGCTTGCTCTCTATAAACCACCTCTGTCTCTGCGTGCAATTCTTTCTCTCCAGAAGAACCCAACTGGGGCCTTGCAGGGTGCCCCTCTTGTATCACCCTGGTTTCAGTAGTGTCTTAGTTTTGCCTGTTCCCCTCCTGGACTACCTTTTTGGTGACCAGCAGTCTTAGGGGTATTTCCTATTGTTCCAACATGATTTTTCCTTTTGGAGTAGGCCCTGAGACTAGTGGTCATAACTCTGATCATACTGAATGTGGGCTTGGTTCAGTGCTACAACCAGCCCTTACATACTTTTTCCCGGACACTGCAACTATTACTGGTAACAGCAACCAAGGAGTTCCAAGCCTTGCCCTTTCCTTATCACTCGGTATTTCCATATGCATCTAACTGGCCAATTCCTAGAGAGTGAGATCCACCACTCTTAAATCCCATGAATAGCTTTTACTTTGGGTAACTGATCAAAACAACAGCTGCTTCAATCCACTGGTGTTTTAAATCCTATCCAGAAACCAAAGGTTTCTCATTTTCCCATTTATCCTTTTTTTCCAAAACCACATAATACAGTGAGCCTGAGCTATTATGGCTAACTCCACCATTCAGACACCAACTGCTTGAACAATTTATTTTAGAAAGGATCAGCACAAGGCTATGAGGCAGAGGCTAAAAATGTAAACGCAATACAACACACTGTAGTCAGATACGACTCACAGTGACCCCTCCTTGGGTTTCCGAGGTGGTATCACTATGGAAGTAGATTGTTCAACCTTCATTCTGAGGAGTGGCTGTGGGTTTCAACCACCAGCCTTCTGATTAGTAGTCTAATGCCTTAGGCACTACACCACCAGATCTCTTGAGGCTAAAAAAGACATCCTAAACATCCAACTTTTCCAAACTGCTGTACCTCCATCATTTCTAACATCAACTCCTCCTCCTCTCCTCAGTACTCTCCCTCTTGAATTAGGGTTCCATAATTCACTATAATGTCTCACTGAATTCTGCTAATGAAATGACTCACTGAATTCTGCTAATGAAATGACTCACTCAATGGTGGAGGCTGGGAGACTGGCAAGTCTCAAATCCTTGGGTCAGGCTTATGTCTGAAGGATTCTTCTCACTTACTCAGTTGCAGGGGCTGTGAAACCCCTGACAACCTGCTGCTGTCTCAAGTCCAGGGGTGACATGATGATGAACAAATGCAGGATTGGAGCAAAAGAGAGTGATTTTGCCAGCACATTCATGTATATATTATCAAGGAAACTAAGGGTGCTGACTTGAGTCATACCCTCCAACAAGGCAGGACTCAAGTTACACATCACCCTAAACAGGTCAGGATTTACAATACATCACAAAATGGAGGACTATGGCTAGAAGGGCCATAAGCAATTCAATGCATGGCAAACCTTAAGGCCTTTTCCAGTCTAGTGTATTTCATGGCCCTCAATCTTGTTGGAGCAGTTATATTTTTGCCAAGAGAATAGAATTTCTAAGCATTTATGATGATTTATAGGGAATACTGGATAGAATATGTGAAATTGGGACTATTAGGGAAAACAGGTTTGCCCATTTCTCCTTCTTCTAGGGAAGAATGTTCTCAGATTACCCCCACCAAAGCCCCTTACAAATAAGCTTGGATATTCTATTAGCAAAATAATCTTATTTGGCTTATATTATAATCCCTCCCACCTCCCATGAGGATAAAGATTTTTGCTTTGTTAGACCTGACTACATACTGTTAGAATAAAACTCCCTATTTTTAGTTAAGATGCCATTTCTTTAAAACCTGGCTACAGCCTTGTGTTATAATTAACTTGTTCTCTAAGTTACAGTTATCAGTTCCTGCTGTATCCTGTGATCTAAGACAGAGCTACCTATGTCAATAAAGGCTCCAGGGCTGGACTTTAGGACCCGGCCACCTGGGCTTTGACAAACACCAGTGGAGCCTCTTAAGGATTATCTGAATGCCAGAAGCTCACAGGAAATATTCTTTTCTTAATTACCTACTGCCCTATCTAACTTTTGGAAAATTGTTAACTATCCTCCATATGTGCTGTGTCTCTTTTTCCGTTAGTATAAGAACCTTTGATTTTAAGTGCTGAGCGGACCAGGCATTTTTGGTGCCACTGAGACCCAGTCCATCCCTGTTGGTTTTATCTCCTAATTAAACTCTCTTCTCCTTGAACTCTGGTGTGGATTACTGGCTGCATTGCTCCAGGGCTGGACCCCAACAATTTTTGGGTAACATCACCAGGTTATATATTTGCCTTTTAAATATGTAAATATGTACCTACATCCAAGAGGATGTAGGTAGTGGTATGGCTGAATATTTAAAGCCCTCATAGGCTTATCCTAGGATAAACCAGATATCTTTTAGTTAATACTTCTGTAGCTAATACTTCTAATACTTCCTCTGTGCCAGGCATGGTTCTAGACATATATTAACTCATTTAATACTCATACCCACCTATGAGTTAGGTACTATTAATGTACTCTTTATAGATGAGGAAACTGAGGCAGAGGAAATCCTTTCTCAAGGTTATACAGTTGGTAAGTGGCAGACCAGGAGTCTTACTAGGTAGTCTGGGTCCAGATTTAGAGATTTTTGGTGGGAAGAGCTCAGCCTTGGGAACTAGACAGTTTGTGTCTGAATCTAGGCTCTGCCCCTAACTACCCATATGACCTTGGGTAAGTTACTCTGAACCTCAGTTACCCACCTGTTAAATGGGAAGGATCTTCTGAGAAGAGCAGAGATATGCCAGGGACACAGAAGTACTTAATAAATGAAATATCCTAACATTTCCAATCTCTCTTTTGCTTTCTACACAGAGACACACACACTCCTTGTGCCTGGCTAACTTATCATAGTCTATAATTCAGCTTGGAGAGCACACCACCTCCAAGAGCTCTCCCACAGGACTGCAGGGAGGGAAGTGAGTATATATAGAAGTGTACTGTGCTAGAGGAGCAAGGAGAAAGGGCACATAACCCACCTGGGTGAGTTTGGGGGAGATTTCATGAAGGAGATGACAGGTGTAAGCATTCCAGGCAAAAGGACAGCGGGAGCACAGGCAGAGGTCAAGGAGACTCAGTGTGGTGTGTACAGGAAGTCTGGAGGATCAGTGTGGCTGGAGGGCAGTTAGGAGTCAGTGAGTGAGTGGGGACATGGCTGAAGCTGACCTGGGGCTGGGCAGGCTTCAGGGCTTTGGCTTTATTCTGGGTGCAGCAGGAGACACTGTAACATTCACCAGACATAAGAGATTAGACCATCAGACGGTATGGTGGGAGGCCAGTTAAAAGGCTGCTGTAGGAAGAACTGTGGCAGGAGATGAAGAGGGTGTGAAGCAGGCAGAGAAGAGACACTGTAAAGCCAAACACCAGTGAGATAGGGTGCCTGACTATGCAGCATGAGAGTGGTGAGATCAGAGAGAAGATAAGGAGAGGTCTGTGCTGATCAACCTGGTGGGTAGCCACTAGCCATACGTGACCATGTAAATTTAAATAAATTAAATCAAGTTTAAAATTCTCTTCCTCAAACTCATGAGCCACATTTCAAGTGTTCAATACCTACATGGCACAGAATGGACCAAGTGTATCTTGGAAAGTTCTGCTGGACAGTGCTGATGTAGCTTATGCAGGGCCTTGTAGACCATGGTACAACTTAAGAATTAAGAGCAGAGGGAAACATACTCATTCAAGTGCAATCATCAGTCTTAAAACAGTTACCCTACCTTCACTCTCACATGAAAACAAACAGCAGTGTCACCACTGTCTTAGCTTTATTGAATAAAAGAGACAATTTCTGCTGAAATGCTTCAAAATTAACTGCTGGTTTTGCTATACAACTATGGATTGGTCAATCAAAGAGAAATCACTACTTGGCCATCCCGTTCTGTACCACCATTCTTTGAGATAAAGTGATGCATTTATACCCAGAGAATTAATTACACATGATTTTCCCTACAGCTCAAACTACGTCAACTCTGATTCACCCCATTTAAAAAAAATCATTCCTTTATGCAAATCTCTTCAGAGCAATGTTGCTGTTATCAGAGATGTGTGTAAGGCCATATCTGGGCTGGTGCAGCTCCTAGGAGAGGAAAGCACTGGGAGTGCCTGCTGGGTGTTGGCACACATCACACCCTAAAGCTTTGAGACCATTGGTGGGTCCCTGGCATCCATTTCCAGCCACTCAATGAGGATTTGATTCAACTCAGCAGGCCTGGAAAGGAAATAAAAGGCAGTTCAAACTTCCCTCGATCCACTCACCCCATCTGAAGGCACAGGTGGGGGACCCTGAAGTGAATGGTTAACCCAGACCCAAGCCAAACCAAAAAAAAAAAAAAAAACCAAACTCACTGCTGTCAAGTCGGATCCAACTCATAGCAACCCCTCCTTGGGTTTCCAAGGCAGTATCACTATGGAAGTAGATTGCCCTATCTTCCTTCTGAGGAGTGGCTGGTGGGTTTGAACCTCTAGCCTTCTGGTTAGCAGTCAAGTGCCTTAGGCACTATGCCACCAGAGCTCCCAGGCCCAAGCCAGGACAGAATTAAACCAGGAAAGCCTTCTGAAGGTGAGAGGAGTCCTGCTCTCCCTGGCCCAGGGGCCCAGAATCTCCTTACCTGTCCATCTGTGTCCAGTGTCCACAATCTTTAATGTGTCCCCTTTTCAGATGAGGGATCTGAAAGCAAGCCCCACCAGAATTGTAAGTGACAATGTTACTGTCTAATACAGAGTCTGATTTCAGGTTAATGCCATGAGCAAGAGGCCACCTGTGCGGGAACATCTTCCTCTCTACTCCCCTAGGTCACCCTCTGAGGAGCCCTGCATTATTTAGGAAAGGAATTAACATTACTGAGACCCTCCTATGTGTTGTGGGACCATTGGTGGTTTAGTGGCAGAATACTTGCCTTTGATATGGGAGTCCCAGGTTAAACTGCCCCTCCTGCAAAGCCACCACCTAACAGTGGAGGCTTGTGTGTTGCTATGATGCTGAATGGTTTCAGAGGGGCTTCCAGACTAAGAAAGGATAGGAAGAAAGGCTTAACGATCTACTTTCAAAATCCAGTGACTGTAAATGCTATCGATCACAATGGTCTGATCTGCAACCGATTGTGGAGACAGCACAGGACTGGGGAGTGTTTCGTTCCATGTGTGTGGGGCTGCCATGAGTGGGGACCGTCTCAATGCTGCTAACAACACAACAACTATGTGTTAGGTGCCCTACACTCATTACCTTATGTAATTCTGACCATAATCCTCTGCGGCGACCTCAGAGAGGTGAGGTAACTTGTCTAGGGCCTCAGTTAGAAAGTAGTTAACATTCAAAATCTGGGCTAGCTCTTACTCATTACAACAAATCCTCCCCTTAGTATCAATGAGATTCTGCTGTTTGCTGCTTGGAAAATGCCCAGTCATCATCTGGCCCTCACCACTCAGATGTGATTGCTTCTGCTGGCAGTCTGCCTGCAGGGTTGTTCAGCCTCACTTTGGGAACCCTGAAACCTCACAGTGGATCAGAGTAACAAGCATCAAGGCCCACAAAGAAGCAGTGAGGCAGCAGCTAGGGACAGGCAGGTCCCTGTGACACATGCCTCGAGGGAGTGGAAAGGTAAACACTATGTGAAAAATACTAAGGAAAATGAAGCTTTCCTTCTGGGGGCAGGAGATGCCCCTTCTAGCAGAACAAACCTCAGCAAAGTTAGCAGTCAGTTTTACAGACTTGAAGGGCCAGCTAAAGAACTTCAATTTCTCAGGAAATGTTCAAGGCTTGGGGGCCAGAGAGGAGTCCTCCAAGCTCTCTGAGAGCTTTCTGCAATGCCTCCTTGGCTCCAGAACTAGACCTCTCTGGTGAACCACAAGGGGTGGCCTTGGGCAGCATCCTGCTAAATGTACCCTCTCTGCTATGCCTGATTGTGCTAACAAAAGCATGGCCAAGTGCATTCTGGACTACTCTTCAACTATTAGCCAGGCTAAATGAGCCCATGACCACTCTATCTGTAGGCTTCACTAATCCTTGCCAACCTCCACACTTTCAGCAGAGTGATCTTTCAACACACAGGTCTGACACCCCTGCCACTCCCCTTTACTGTATTTGCATGCCCATGGGTTCACATGGTTTAGCAAGGTCCAAGGGACTCAGCAAGATCTCCCAGCTCCACCCAGCTCATTCCCATCCTGTGAGCATGCTGTGCATTCTTGTTGCCTTTCAGAATGCACCCATGCCCTGGCTTCTCCCCATTCTCCCTGCTGGGCAAGTATTAGTCATTATCAAGACCAAATTCAATGGTCAACCTCTCTGTAAAGCCCCATCTCCCAGCTGCGTCCTTTTCTCTTTTCCCAATGCCCTGTCCACACCTTTCCTGCATGTGTATCATACTGTGCTGGGATGAACTGCTGAACAGAGCTCACAGAGGCCAAGGTCTGCACCTTATTTATCTTACCTCCCCATTATCTAGTACTGTCCCAACACAGTTAAGTGAAAACAAAAGTCTGCAGAATAAATGAATGGACAGACAGATGCCAGGCAACATCCGTGTAGGGGAAAAGAAGCATCAGTCATGATTACTGCTTTCAAGGGGTGACAGCGATTTTACAGATGATGCCTTTGCCATCTAGATAGTCCAACAGAATATCCCACTCTGAATGAAGTGTGTCTTCTGTTGCTGTTCTTCCTCTGGGGCTCTTGCACCCTCTCAGGACCAATGATCCCAGTGCAGGACCATTCCCTTACCCAGTCTTCCATATGCTTGGACATCTCTGGAATGAGCACCTGGTCATTCTCGGCAGTTACCATCAGGGCTGGAATCAGGATCTGGGGAGGGATAACAGGAAATGGAAGAAGCCGGAGGACAAGAGAAATGTTTCTTATACTTCTGCACAGTTGAAGGCAGCTTCCTTCACCCTGGGCAAGGAGACATATTTGGCTGGAATGCTGTGTGGCTTCCTCAGCTATTAACTCACCCAGTAGCACCACTGTGGCCCTGGCTTTGCTTCTGCCATGCTTTGCGTGAGGAGTCAAACTATTGTGGGAGATCCTTAAAATGATGATTTAGCAATGTAATGACCAGCAAGGGTTTTGTGTAAGTATGAACATGTGTGTTGGCCCCACTCTGGGTGACTAATATTCATGGAACCCAATTGATGGCACCATAAAGAAGGGATGATGCCCTTGAGCAGAGATCAAGATTCCTTGTCTCCATATTAAATTAACATTGAAAAAGGCAGCCACCATTGCAGAGAGAGAAAAGGACAGGCTACAAGGGTTATCAACACAACATTAAAGGCAGGAATAAAGACTTTGTGATTATCTACTGATAAATGAAGTGAATACAATGGGACACTGTAAGGTCAAGAACCAAAACCAAACCAAACTCACTGACATGGAGTCCTTTCTGACTCCTAGTGACCCCTCCTTAGGTTTCCGAGGTGGTATTTCTATGGAAGTAGATTGCCCAATCTTCCTTCCAAGGAGTGGCTGGTGGGTTTGAACTGCCAGCCTTCTGGTTAGCAGTCATATGCCTTAGGCAATATGCCACCAGAGCTCCCAAGGTCAAGAAAGCCTCCATTTATTCTGTTCTCATTTTACCATTAAAACCAAAGCCATTTTACCATTATAACCTTTCAAACAGTATTAGCCTGGGCCTGGTTAAGGAATTTGCACTATTGTTTACTTACTTGCTGGATCAAATGGTTCTCACTGTACCCCTTACTCCCCTCCTCCAAATGATCAGAACCATGGGACGTTCAAAAGTGATTTTGTTGCTTTAACTAATCCTGAGGCTCCTGTGAGATTTTGTAAACTGTAAAATACTCTCAGCCAAAATGTCAACTGGTGGTGGGGGCACAGGAGTAGATCAGAGAGGAGGGAGAAAAATCTGGAAGGTAACTTGCAGAAGAAGGGAGTCCCCAACCTTTGCACCACCGAGGTTCATGTTTGAGAGGTTTTCTCTGGCAAACTACAATTTGTACTCTTTGTCAATCTCAGATTACAGTGATTACAAGGATAATTAATATCCACTGAACTACTACTCCGTGGTAGGTACTGTCCTGAGCATTTTATACACGATCAAATTTCATCCTCATGATTCTATGAAGCTGGTACTATTATTGACATTTCTAAGTTACAGAAAAGGAAATGGAGGCACAGAGCGGTTAAGTCCTTTGCCCAAGGTCACACAGGGATGAGGACCCAAGGTAACTTTCTCCCAAGCCTGCTCTTAACTACTCTATTACTATAATGCATCAAGACATAACTACATGAGGTAAAGGACTTAATGTCTTATATTCACCACTGTTCATATTTCAATGAATCAATGAGATAACTGGCCTACCAAATGAGTTGATGCAAGCCTGGTTACCTGCACAGCCTCATGAGAAAATGCAATTTCCTTTAACATTCTGAATGTGAATAGGGGACCCTATTGCCACTTTTGCAGACCCAGAGATTGGAACCCCATCTTTTGCTGGATAAATGGGGAAACTGAGACTCAAGGGACTGACCTGATCCAGGTCACACAACTAGAGGCTAAAGGTGCACCTTCTATGAATCCTGGGCTCCATTATCCACAACACCTCTGGAATCCCCTTTAGGGCATGTCTGCAGGAGTTACTTCGAGCATCTGTCCTAACCTGGGGAAGGTCGAGGAGACCTGGGCATTGCAGACGGATGCTCCAAGTACCTGGACATGCACAAGCTCTGCCCCCAATCTCACCCTCTACCATTCCTAAGAGGAAACCCTAGAGTGGAGTGACCTCCAGAAACCTCAGAAGCAGCAGTGCAGAAAAGGAGAAAGCCCACAGGTCATTCTGTCCACCCTCAGTTTTTACTAGTCATTTAAGGTCAGGCCAATGGGAAAGCCCAGGGGTGGCTCATGGGAACACCACTGAACTCAGTACTCACCTTCCGTCCCACACCTTTGCAGCCCCACTTCCAGTTTCTGTCCATGTTTCGATACCAGTTTAATGGGCCTCTGGTGCAGGTGGAGGGTGGGCATACAGAGAAGAATACAATTAAGAAAACTTATAAAAATAAGAAAAGTAACTATGCTACAGACTCAACCAGTCACCAGCTCTGCAAAAAGCATTACCCCAGGAAGTGCAAAGGTTACGCAGGGGGAAGAAAGTAGAGCACAGAATTGACATTTAGTTCTCCAGGATTCAGCAAGGCTACAGTGTGTGGTTACAGAATGGAGACAAGAGGGCTAGCAGCCTCTGAAATGGGCTTGTGGGAACATGTGGAACCTGGTCCATAGCACTGTCCATATTCCATGGTGGTTGTGTGTGTTTAAAGGTGGGCAGCTTGCTGAGGGTGGAACTACCCTTGGTTTAGCTCCTTTACTCTTCTAGAAGTCACTCCTCCGCCCCAGGAAACCCACTGAAAAGGTGCACACCAGGATGCAGTGCAATGGTGCCCTCTTAAGAGGTAAGGGTGGTTCAAGGGCTGGGCCAGGAATATTCTTCAAATCCTCAGGCAGTGCCCTCAGACCCTCAAGGGTCCTCCAATGAAAAGGAGGAGCCTGGAATTACCTTGGGTAAGTCATTTGTCCTTTTGTGACTTTTACATTTTCTTTCTTCAATAATGATCAGATCAGACCTATCTTCAAGTCTGACTATCTTAAGTTGTTAACATGTGAAGCACCCAAAACAAGGGACCTCCTTTTAAAAACTAAGAAAACAAACTTAGGAAAGTCGTCGATTGTGGTGAGGGAGAACATCAGGGCCTAAAGAGCTGCTATCACAGTGCTCATACCAAAGGCTGCAACACAGTGACAATCTCTGGGGCCTGGGAGTAAAAAAGGCAGGCACTGCCCAACTATTTGGCTATTTATAGACCTTGGATTTGAGTGCAGAATGGGGCACAAAGAAAGAGGCAAAAAACCAAAACCAAAAAAAAACAAACTTGCTGCTGTTGAGTCAGTCCCGACTCATAGAGACCCGTCCTTGGGTTTCTGAGGCAGTATCTCTACGGAAGTAGATTGCCCAGTCTTCCTTCTGAGGAGTGGCTGGTGGGTTTGAACCACCAGCCTTCTGGTCAGCAGTCAAATGCCTTAGGCACTACACCACCAGAGCTCCTAGAGAGGCATAAGGAAAACCAAAAAAAACACAAACCCACTGCCAAGGAGTCGATTTCAACTCATAGACCTCCGTTGCGTTTCCGAGGCAGTAAATCTTTATGGAAGTAGATTGCTCTGTTTTCCTTATGTGGAGTGCCTGGTGGGTTGTCGACCTTAAAGACTGGGGAGTCACAGTAGGCGGTCATGGTGACCATGAGGAAATCATGACCTTCAAGTATTGTCAGTATATTCAAGTAGGTGAAGAAACATGCAGAGAAGGAGATTTTAGAGTGATTCCAGAGCAGGGGCCCTGAATTTCAGCATAAAAATGGATCTGAGAAAAAGAGATGAAATACCGATACATGGTATTATGAACTCTGTAAAATGCTAAATGAAAGAAGCCACTCACAAAGGACTATATAGTATATGATTCCATGTATATGAAATTGGCAGAGTAGGCAAATCAGAGTAGTTGACTAGTTGACTGGGGGTTGCCTAGGGTTGTTGGGATGGGGGGGTAGTGGAGGGTGACGGCTAAAGGGTATGGGGTTTCTTTTGGGGGGTGATGAAAATTTCTGAAATTGACTGTGGTGATGGTTGTACAACTCTGCATATAATAAAAAACATGGAATTGTATGTTTTTAATGGATGAAGTATATGGTGTGAATTATATGCCTATACAGCTATTTCAAAAGAAAAAAGGGTTGAGAAAAGATCTGAGAGGGCTATAACTCCTTTCTGAAAGTGTACACAATATTTGAGTTTACATAGGTGTTTGCATTTTTCTTAAGAAAGAAACCAGAGCTAACATCTGATTTTCAGAGGAGTCTGTGACTAAAAAAAGGTTGAAAACCTCTGCTCTTGGTGGGGCCAGTAAGCATAAAGTAGAGCAAGTGGGATTATCCCAACCTGGAGCAGACTAAGCTTCAGGAGACAGTGAGCCCTCCGACCCTGGAGGAATCCAAGCAGTGCTAGCCAGGTACTCGGGGGCGGGGGGGGGGGGGAGTCACTCCATGCTCCATCCTGAGAGCTGTAGTCCACCTCTTTGCTGCCCACTTCCCCACTTGTGTTTGGGGTGTCATTCTCTCTACCTGAAACCAGACTTCTTGAACTGCTGCACATAGAACTGGAGCTCCTCCTCGGTGATCATCTTACTGAGAGTGGGCTCATCTGGGATTTCCACTAGAAGTCCTCCTGCAAAAAGTCACTCGGTTCCTTCCCCGCCCTCAGCATCAAGCCTGAGTTCTAACAATGGTGTTCCTAATTGAGGTTGGGCTCCTAAGTGCCTTGGAACTTCTGAAATTATAAAAAAGGGCCTAATAGTTTTCCTCTCTTCCTTTTTCAAAATAATCTCATCTCTTCTCACTGACAGAGCCTGCAATCTCATTGTCATTCTGCAACCTGGCAGATCCAGCTGAGGATGCATTACACACACAAGGGCTGTTGTCATAGCTCCAGAGCAAACCATATCCTTCCCCTCTTTCAAAAATATATCCAGAACTCAGTTCCAGGATGACACCATTTCAGGCTATTTTAAGTAAGTTTATAAAGGAGGTAGAGGTATGGTTTCTAGCTGTATTCCAGGCCCTGCACCCATTTTGCTACCCCTCTTCCCTAGACTGAATCTTTTCTAAACAGCTTAATTAATTAATTAATTAATTACTCTTTTTGGGAGTCTTTACTGAGATGCTCAAGATTTTCAGTGTGGTTTCTCTTTCTCCTCTTAGGCTAGAAGAAAATGGAGGAGAGGAAGCGTCTCACAGAGCCTCCCACGTATCCTTTTGTTTTCAGGAATGTAAACTGTGTCTCAGCAGCATCCTTGAAGATGGCCTTATGATGACAGCTGATGGCCCATGGATCACTGTGATTTCACAGGGGATGTTTAATGTGTATCAGTGATGGTGGTGGAACATGAAGCCTCTGAGGCATAGGAGCTGGAAAATCCAGACTATGTCAGACAGGTCAAAGGGGTATGAAAATAAGGGGCCTCCTGACCCTCCTGTCAGACCAGGCACTCCTGGCTCACTGCAGCTTCAGCACCTCTTATGTGGACCTGTCTCTCCAAAAGCCTCTCCACCTGCTTTATTACTGCTTGTCTGCCTCCCTAAGGACTATAGTCTACCTGAGGGCATGGTTCTGTCTTGTGCATCTGTGGTGCCTAGCTACCACCTTATACTAAGTATGTGCTCAAAATATTTGAGGAAGGAATGAATGAATGAACAAAATAACGAAGGTATAAAGGAAGGGAGGAACAAATGAAGGGAGGCATGAAGTTGTGAGAAGACTGTGGCCTTCAGAGTCAGATAAGTTTAATTCCAGCTGGACAAGTTACTTAACCTTTCTGAGGCTCACTTTCCTCATTTGTGAAGTGGAGATAATGACCGTATTTTTAGAGAAGGTATGAGGATTATACATAACAGATCTAAAAGGGTCTAGTACAGTGTTTGACACATATAGTAGATGCTCAAGTGTGGTTGTTGTTGTTGTTGTTGTTTGCCGTCGAGTCGGCCCCGACTCATAGCGACCCCTCCTTGGGTTTCCGAGGCAGTATCACTACAGAAGTAGGATTGCCCAACCTTCCTTCTGAGGAGTGGCTGGTGGGTTTGAACTGCCAGCCTTCTGGTGAGCAGTCAAGTGCCTTAGCCACTATGCTACAAGAGCTCCCTCAAGTGTGGTAGCTAGCATAATTATTTTATTCTCACTAAGTCACAAAGCATTTTAAAAGGATCTATTTGTTTCTATTTCATTAGTAACCATCCTCTATTTTACATGAACAAGTTAGACACTATTGTATATTCTTTTTTTTTCCCCCCATTTGGCTACTCCTTTATTTGAAATAATCAATTTTATCTAGAAAGTCTCTTTATATAGAAGACTAGTCTCTGCTGGAGAAAGAATAGTGTCAACTCTGAAAATCAATTTTTATTAAAATGCATGCTAGCACCACTATCAATAAAAATCAAAGTGAATAATGGTAAGGGCACAGTGCTGGGGAAAAGAATAAGATTTTGAGGGAGTAGTGCTGGATCTAGCAGTTATGGGGATAAACCCCATTCTGACCTCAGCTCTGACTCCCCACTTATATCCAACCCAGGAGGAGACCATGGATGGTAATCATGTGAAGGAACTTGAAATGACCAGAATACAGAGCCTGAATAGGAGCAAAGACCAGTGGACTAAGGCTGTGGAGGCCCAGGCTGGGGTCTGGTCTACCCCTGCCTCTCCTGCACCAGGGGGTGCTGGGAAGTCAGTTCTCTGTCCAGGGTTCTTATCAGTGGAGGCTGGGACTGCCCTGGGCAATCTCTAAGATTCCTCCATCCTCTTACTGTTTATGATCTTGAGTTCAAAGCTCCCCAGAAGCCAGCTCCTGCCCATGTTTCTGTACAGTTCAAGGGGCCTCTGGTGGTGGATGAGGAGTGGGGCATTCAGAGAAGAATAAAAGGAAAGCTTTTAAAAGGTAACTATGCTACCACCCCCAATGGCACTCAGCTCTGCAAAAAGCCAGGTATTCCCAGAAGTGCAAAGGTTTATTCAGGGGGAAGACCACAGAGCCCATATGTCACACCTACTTGTCCAAGACGTTTTTCATAGTTGACTCAGCAAGGCTGCAATGTGTGGGTACATGACTGAGATGAAAGAGCTAGCAGCCTCTGGAATGGGCTTGTGGGAACACGTGGAAGCTGGCCTCACAGCATTGCCCGTATTCCACGAGGGCTGTGTTTGTTTGACGGTAGCGAGGCTGCTGCGGATGAAACTACCTTTGGTTTAGCTCCTTCACTACTCTAGAAGTCACGCCTGTGCCTCAGTCTCTAGATTCCTCCAAGCTCTTACTGTTTAAGATCTTGAATGTAGAGCTAGATAGGAACTAGCCATATGTTAGGTCTGAGTTTAGGGGTGAGGATTATTCAGCTCTGAGGGATCCTGTGTTGGGCAAGACAAAGTACAGGTCTGACAGGTGCTGCTTTTGCCCATAACAGTGAGAGAGAGAGAAAATTCATTTAATGTTCCATCGGTTCCTCCCATACCCTTCCCTGCCTCCCTTTTCCTCCAAGAACGTCTCTTACCCAGTTTGGAGACTTTGCCAGATGGAAACAAAGACTGTAGGGAGAAAAGTTAGAAATAATGTCATTGGTGAGGTGAAGGAAATATGCTAGAACAGGCAATCTGAAAACCTTCAACCAACAAAAGATATACAAGTGCTACATAGATTATACAAACATGCTAAACTCCCAAGAGAGTTAGGTAAATCCTCAGGGGTCGAAGCAAAGAGGGAACTGACAAGCAAAGCTCTCAGTGAGAGCCAGGCTCAAGGCTGCACTGGCAGATCTTGGCAATATAAAACCTATTTAAAAAAACCTGTTGCCATCGATTGATTTGTAACTCATAGTGAATCTGTAGGAAATAACAGAACTACGTTTCCAAAGCTGTAATAATCTTTATGGAAACACACTGCCACATCTTTCTCCCATGGAGCAACTGGTGAGTTTGAACCACGGATCTTTCAGTTAGCAGCTGAGAGCTTAATCACTGTGCCACCAGGGTTCCTGGCAATGTAAAGATAGGTTTATCAACCAAATGGGAATAAGAGGCAAGACCTTAGGCTCATGGTGGGTAGGAAGTTAGAATTTAGATACTCCTTGCCCCTCCACAGTAAATCCAGGAACTCTGGGGCCACTGAAGTGTGATACCCCCAGTGAAAGGGTGAGTTATAAAAATTCACCCATCTCAACAGGGAGATGGCATAGGAGATGGGATGAGGAGATGCCAAGCTACCTGTTTTATTTAGTCTGGTTCAAAGAGAAAATAATAATAATAAAAAAGTAAAAAAGTTCCCCAGGGAATTCAATTACAAGCCTGCTTTCACAAGTTTTGGGGTTTGAGTTTATACTATATGCATGATTTGGAAATTCCTAAAGTGAGAACAAACCAGCACTACCACAAAGTAAGCCTGGACTGGTAATGTCACCAGGATGCCTGTCAAAAGCAAATACCATACCAGGTTTGCTGGTCTGATAAAGCCTGGTGAGACCCTAAGACTATGGCTCCTAGTTACCCTTCAGGTCTGGAACTGAACTCACTCCTATGGCTTCCAGCCAAATAACAGATAGGCATATGGGGTGAACATTTACATCAGGTAGATACATTTCTTAGAGTGATCAATCATAGGAGAACAGAAGGACAGTGTTTGCACAGGGAGACTACTTGGGGGGCAGGCGTGCATGGGAGGGAAGGACACAGGGAAGAGGTAACTATGGGGAGGAAGTGGGAAGAGAGCTGTTCCATTGTGGGAAATGCAGTCAATGTCATGAGACAAAGTGTATGTGAACTGCTGTATGGAAAATAATTTCACCCAAATCACAATAAAAATTAAATTAAAAAAATGATTGACACAGTCATTCAAAAAAAAAAAAAAAAAAAAAAGGAAAAAGGAAATGCCAAACCTCTCACGAGGGTCATTTCCTCAATCCAAACTGAAGCAGACTGCTACAGATTAAGTGCTATTGAAGATGAGCTCACAATTCAAAATTATACTACTCATCCCTCCCTCACAGAAAAAAAGCCCCATGGCTCCATAAGCAAGAGATAGCAAACACAGCCAACAGTAAAATAAGATCCCAAGAGCATTAAACAACAGAACTTTCAGAGAACTGGAGAACGAAAAATAATTATCTTTAAAACGATTAAAGACATAAAAAAAAGGAATTGAAAAGCAAGAACAGAACAAAATACTAAAAACAAGAGGTCAGAATGATTTGAAAAATAACCAAATATAATTTTTATAAATAAAAAATGGTTAACTGAAATTTAAAAGGATACATTAATGATGGGTTAAACTACGGATTAACCTGTTGCCATCAAGTCAATTCCAACTCACAGCAACCCTATAGAATAGGGTAGAATTGCCCTACAGGCTTTTCAAGGCTGCAGTCTTCATGGAAGCAGACCGCCACATCTTTCTCCCAAAGAATGGCTGGTGGGTTTGAACTGCCAATCTTTCAGTTAGCAGCTGAGTGCTTAACTACTGCACCACAGGGCCCTTTAAACTGCAAATCAGACTCAAATAAAAGACAAGTATACAAGAAGGGATACAAGGTTATTTCCAGAAATTCAAGCTGGATTCAGAAGAGGACATGGAACTAGGGATATCATTACTGATGTCAGATGGATCTTGGCTAAAAGCAAAGAATATCAGAAAGATGTTTACCTGTGTTTTATTGATTATGCAAAGGCATGTGACTGTGTGGATCATAACAAATAATGGATAACATTGCAGAGAATGGGAATTCCAGAAGAAAGAAATTGATCCCAATACGAAGGAGTGAGATGCAAGTGAGCAGCAAAGAAATGGGAAAATGTGGGATAATCTACTCAGGCATTTAATGTACAGCAATGATAGAGGTGATGACTACCAACAAGTAAGACAGGAGGGTGGGGATTATTGGGATTAAGGCATTTGAAGCTTCTCTAGCTGCTAAAAGGGTTTGCCATTGTTGTCAGTTGCTGCTGAGTCAGTCCCAATTCCTGGCAACCCCATGCGTGTAGAGGAGGAGAACTGCTCCATAGGATTTACAAAGTGTGACCTTTCAGAGGCAGAATAGCAGGCTTGTCTATGGGTGAATATGAACCACTAACTTTTAGGGTAGTAGGGGAGCACTTAGTCGTTTGTGCCACCCAGGGACTCTTTAAGAAAAAGGTTAGAGATGTTAATTTTGGACTTTGATAAGTGAACCATGCATATTAAAATATTGATGATAATAACAGTATAATTGCCAAACCATCTTTACGATAATCATTCTTTGATCTTTACTTCACAGTCCTACTGGTGTGTGACAGTGAAGATGAGGATTTTACCTGTGAATGCATAGATGACTCTAGTGGAGGCCCAAATCCTGACTACAGAAGTCAAAGAACAGAAGGCTGAGCTGCTAATTCCCAGACTCTGCCAAGCCCCAAACCCCAGACAGAACCCCTCTAGAGATTTTCACAGCCAAGCCCCTCCTTCATGCACACACAGCTCCTTCCTGCCTCCCACGCCCCCACCCCTCACCTCATCATGTCTTCTGAATAAACTTTTCAAAGTCCGACTCAGGTTCTTTTCCAGTTCAGCCTCAGCCACTCCCTGAAACAATTAAGAAAAAAAAATGAAGACCCTCTCAGAAATCTTTGAAACGATACCTGTCCCTTGTCTGACTGTAAACAAGAAACCCCAAACCTGTGTACCATCCCACCCAAATTTCATTAGAATTGCACTAATTTTATTTTTCATATTGTAACACAGGTGAATAAATAAAAGTTAAAAGAAGATATAAAACAAAATGTGGTAGAGACTACAATGGAGTATTGTTGTTGTTGTTGTTATGTGCTGTCGAGTCGGCCCCGACTCATAGTGACCCCTCCTTGGGTTTCCGAGGCAGTATCACTACGGAAGTGGGATTGCCCAACCTTCCTTCCGAGGAGTGGCTGGTGGGTTTGAACCGCCAGCCGTCTGGTTAGCAGGCAAGTGTCTTAGCCACTATGCTACCAGATTATTCAGCCATAAAGAGAAGTCAAGTCCTGATACATGCTACAACATGGATGGACCTTGAAAACATGCTGAGTGAAGTAAGTCAAATATAAAAGGACAAATATTGTATGATTCCACTCACATAAAATATCTAGAACAGGCAAATGTATAAAGATCAATTTATTAGTGGTTTCCAGGAGTAGGCAGGAGAGAGGGGAAAAAGAAGACCCAAACTTTAGGGAACAGAGAGCTTCTATTAAAGGTGATAGAAAAATTTGAATGGTGATAGTTGAACAACATGTTCATATTTAATGGAGCCCTGGTGATACAGTGGTTAAGTGCTCAGCTGCTAACCAAAAGGTTGGTGGTTTGAACCCATCTGCCGGTCCATGGGAGAGAGATGAGATAGTCTGCTTCTGTAAATATTTATAGCCTTGGAAACCCTATGGGACAGTTCCACACTGTCCTATAGGATTGCTATCAGTCAGAATTGACTCGATGGCAGTGGGTTTTGGGAACTGTATATGTCAAGACTGTGGAAATGAAAAATGTTTTGTTACCTATATATTTACCACAATAAAAAAATAGTTAAGATATTTTAGGAGGACCCATCTGCCAGCTGAAAGGAACAGAGTGCCTCCATCAATGACATGAGGAAAAGAAGACTCACCCAGTTGTGCCTTGACTGAATTCCTGACCCACAAAATTGTAAGTCAGAATAAAATGGTTGTTCTAAGCCAAATATGTATCTATGATGTTAACATCAGGAAGAGGGATTCTGGGTGCTGCTTTATTTTCTTCTATGTTTCCCAAAATCCCTACAGTGAGAATGTATTACTTGTAATAATCCCTTTAAAGGAACACGGTAAGGCTGGTGCAGGAATAGATTGAGGGCTGAAGGGTGGTAAGAAAAAGAAATGGATTCCAAGGATTGTGAGATGCCAAGTGGAAAAGCCAAAAGCAGTTTCATTTACTCATGTAATTTTTATTTTACATTTATTTTTTGTTGCTGTTGTGGTTGAGAATATACACAGCAGAAGATACACCAATTGAGTAATGTCTACATGTACAATTCAGTGAAACTGATTACATTCTTTGAGCTGTGCAACCATTCTCACCCTCCTTTTCTGAGTTGTTCTCCCCATTAACATAAACTCACTGCCCCCTAAATGTCCTATCTGATCCTATCTAAGCACCTAATTCTGCTGAAGGAACTTCAAAACCAGCTCCTTTGATTTGGGTCTAAATTATTACAGCCACGGTGGTACAATGGTTAAGTGGTCGGCTGCTAACCAAAGGGTCAGTGGTTTGAACCCACCAGTTGCTCAGCAGGAAAAAAAAATGACCTGGTGATTTGTTCCCATAAAGATTTAAAACAAACAAACAAACAACAACAACAAAAAAAATCTGTTGCTGTTGGGTAGATTCTGATTCACAGCAACCCTATACGTCAGAGTAGAACTGCCCCATACGTCTTCCAAGGCAGTAACCTTTTAAAGAAGCAGAACGACAGGTCTTTTCTTTGGCACAGTGGCTGCGGGTTTGAATCTCGGACCTTTAGGCTAACAGCCAAAAGCTTAACCACTACATCACCAGGGTTCCTTTTCCATAAAGACCTCAAAAACCTGTCATAGAGTTCATTCCAACTCCTAGCAACCCTATAGGAAAAGGATAACTGTCTCATAGTTTCCAAGCCTGTAAACTATTGCAGAAGCAGCCTGCCACGTCTTTTCTGCTGTTGTTGTTGTTGTTATGTGCCGTCGAGTTGGACCAGACTCATAGTGACCCCTCCTTGGGTTTCCGATGTGATATCACTACGGAAGTAGATTGCCCAACCTTCCTTCCAAGGAGTGGCTGGTGGGTTTGAACTGCCAGCCTTCTGGTTAGCAATCAAGTGCCTTAGGCACTATGCTACCAGAGCTCCTATCTTCTCCGCTAGTGGGTTCGAACCACAGACCTTTCAGTCAGCAAATAAGCATTTAACCACTGCACCACCACCAGAGCTCCTCTCTGTAAGGATGACAGCCTTGGAAACCCTATGGGGGCATCTCTACTCCATCCTATAGGGCTGCTATGAGTCAGAATCTACTTGACAGCACACAACAACAACAATCAGACTATCAATGGATTATTTTCCTACCAATATGGAAGCAGGGTTTTCATTGTGAAAAAGCTGGAGTACGTATCCTTTGTAGTGACCAATTACCCCTGTCTCCCTGCCTTGTATGTGTTATTACATATTATCTGCCTAATCTTTACAGGGTTGCTCAGCCACTTCTGGGTCTGTGGCTTGAACTTGCTTCAACAACTCCACAGATACTGTGCTCCTTCTCTGGCATACTGGGCTAAGAGATGCCAATGTATACAAGATGCAGGTTCCTGACCTTTGCTGATGGTCCAGAGGGTGAGAATGCAGGTTGAATATAGACTGCTGTCAAGTTCTAAGTCCTCCTGTGGGATGGGGAGGAGATTCTTGTTGGATTCTTCTACCCCAGCTCCCCATCCAGGAGCATCTCAGCAAAGCACAGGCACTAAGAACTTGGTGCGGAGGGAATGAGAAGGTTAGGAGGCAAGGAACTTTGAGTCTATCAGTAGCTGGGGTCTCTTGGATCCAAGGGTATTTTTGAGCATAAAAGGGAAATCTTAATTAGATTTGTCTTTTCTGGAAGCTGGAATCCCTTGGACCTGATGTAGCTGGTACATAAACAGTTAAAAGAAAGGTTAGTTGTTCCTGAGATTGGGATCTACTAGGGGCAACTGCTCAGACAAAATAAATATCCTTCTGCAAACCAGTGCTGGAGAGGGTCCTAGCATTACAGAGGGAATGAGAGTAAGAGTGTGGCCACACCAGCCTGCCTTTCTCTCATTTCCAAATGCTCTCCTGAATGTATCCTAGGCATCAGCCAAACTGGACTGAAGGATGTTCTCTGGATGGGTGTTTTACTTTCTCACCTCCCTGGCTAAACATACTGTAACTTCCATCAAGAACACCTACTTCCCTCAGTTTGGCCTTCAAGAAGCCTTCAGCACTCATCCCAAAGGTTGCCTTATGAATTCCTGCCTTCTCCCACCACAACTAAATGAACTCTTCTGTTATCCCACAGAGCCTTTAATGTGTTCTTCTCCCCTGGACCATCCTTAAGGGCAGGGGTGCAATCACTCCTCTTGTTCTTGGCAGCATCTGTTACTGATCCTGGGATAGAGTGGGAGCTGTACGTATGTTACTTCCTATGGTGGTTATATTTGTGTGTCAACTTGGCTGGGCCTGGTTGAGTGTGGGCAGCTGGATGTAGTATTATTTATTCCTCATGATGAGACTGGTAATCAACTCCATGGTGGAATCTACTGTGAGCAGCCTTTGGGTATGTGGTCTGCTTCTTGTATATAAGGAGAAGCCTTTGGGTATGGTCTCAAGTCTATGGCACACTTGGGCCCTGCATATAGCTGTGTCGTTGCTCAGCAGCCTGCTATGTTCTGCCGACCTTGGGACTTACAATGGATTTAAGTTGGCCTGGAGTGTGGTTTGGTAACATCGGGACTGTACCTTTTTACTTGTCAACCTTGGGCTTCTCAGCCTCAGCAGCCAGCAGCTGTCTGAGTGAAGAAACGCCTCTAGCTCCAGTGGGCCGGGAGCAGGAGGCAGAGCTGGACCCCAAGGTTAAGGGGCTTTCACCCAGCCCCTAGAGCCTGGCACTTTGAACTTGGACTTAAAGCCTTCAAATTGTAAGAATAAACTCCTGTTTGTTAAGGCCATCCCATTTGTGGTGCATTCCTGTCAGAACGGCACTAGAGAGCCACAACACTTCCCTTCCTCCTCTTTGTATTCTCAGAGAGGAGGATCCTTTAATGACCAGCAGCCCTCAGTCCTTGCACACTTTGTAAGGTCACCACTATACTATAATTTGTTTCTTCTGTACAGTGCACATTGTGAGAGCTCTGGATCTACGAGATGGGAGCACTGAAGGATACATCTGTCATCAGGCAGTGTTGCTTCTTAGTTTGAGATTTTCTGATGAAGACAATGTCACTGTGTTCACTACAGTCCCCGTCATATTTCTAAGATTCAATTATAATGGAGAATCAATCGCAGCCTTCTGCAATGTGATGGATACTAAGGCAAGAAACAGTCAAGGGAGGAAGCACATTCTGAGTGATCGATGGAAGCCCTGGCCAGCCCTGCGTCTTGCCATTGGTCATTATTCATATCTATTGACAGCAATCCCTATCCCAGAGATGCGTGTTGCTCATGAGCTCAGGGATGCACTCCAGTGTCTGGAGGAATCTCCAGAAGTCTGGGCAGGGCTGTGGCCCTCAAATGGTCCTTAAGAGAGCAAACAGATGCCAAGACAGTCAATAATAATAATAATAATAATAATAATAATAATAAATTCAAAGAGAACAAAAAGGCGTCTGTCCACCCACATAAGAAGTACATCAGCTCAACAGAGAGTTGGGGCAAAAGTGAGGAGGAGAAACAAGAGAAGATGACAGAGTTGTATTCTGGTTATGTGCCAGCTGATCCCATCGGATTCCTTAAATTACAACAGGAAATATTCTATTTTTAAGTTCCTCAGAACAACGACACATTTCCTGTCTGCCCTACTGGGTAGGAACTC